CTGATGTGCACTCACAGTATTAGGCCCGTTATGCCACATTTTTTGGTGGAAAGCTTACGTCCTAGTTACACATGACTTCAGTTCGTATTCATCTTCTGTGCTACGAATTTAAGTTATTTCTTCACAAACTTTGTCGTGATCGTACGCGCTTCATAAGCGTGCTGGACAGCTGAATTTGAAATCTTTAGCTCGCATGTGCATAGGGGAATATCCCTGCAAAGTTTCAGCTTTCTACCTTGCCTGGTTCATGACATCGTTCCCCGTCACCAGCAAAACCTTTCACGTGCCCGTACGTGGGAATCGCGTTCATCTGGGGACTGATTTTGAAGTCACTTGATTGCACATGAATGAGGAACGTCCCCTCAAAATTTCAGCTTCCTAGCTTCACTGGCTGTTAACATGCGATCTAGAAAATTTAAATCCAGCCTTTCCGTGCCCGCAAGTAACATGTAACGGCCTCGTGGAAAATTATTATCTCGGGAACCATAAAAGCCAGGAAGTTGAAATTTTACGTCGTCTGTCCACGTACAACCCTGCAATTTTAAATTCAGCCTTCCCACGCGTCCGAGTATCACGTACGGCCCGAGATCGACGAGTTGCTTACAGGTACCAAATAGACTGTCCGTGATGGGTACTAAGTATCCCGAGTTTTAAGCATGGCGGAGTGAGTCACTGTACTGATGATTCCCACACCATTCCGCACCGACTCTGCCGTCTGTGTTTACAGTTTAGGAATGAAACACAGACCGGACAACAGCTAATGCACATACAGGCTCGCTTATCTGAGTATCTGAATTAGCACTCACTGCTTTCCCATAATTGACAATATTCGACTGTGTCCCTTTCATCGGCTGGCCTACAGCGCCAAACAAACATCCATAGTTTACATTTTTCAAAATTTTTCAAAAATTTCCAAAATACTTGGCATCTCTGGAACACGCGGTGGGTATCCCACTCTCAAAGAGATTGAAACATTGGAAAAAATGCGAAAGCTGTCAGCTTTTTTCAGGTTGCTAAAATGGACCTGGATGAATTGCTCGGAAAAACTCCTAGCACCTATGAAGGGGCTGACGATGATAAAGCCAAAACTGTCGAAGATAAGAAAGAACTAGCAAATCTCAGCAATACAGCTGTAGCTGCTCCACTT